CACATATAATCGATAAAAGACAAGTGGGAATTTTGGAGAATACAACGTAAAAATTTCTTCGAAAAAAAAATAATAAACAAGTTTCAAATATTCAATACTCCTTAATAGCTTTTAAAGATTAAAAACGGATAAATTATTATACTTCATCCGTAAATAGATAATTTATTATACTCGTCAATAACATTTATGCAATTAAAATCGATTTTATAAATAATTTACTCGAAAGAAAACATTAAAATAATTATTAGCTATCCAATATAAATATTTAATTATCATTCTAACCTATGATACTTAGAATCAAAGAAAAATGTTTTCTCCAGACAACTCTCACTACTTTCATTGAAATTGATTCTAGAAGAATTAATTTTTGCAATTTTTCAAAATTTATAAAATTTATTTATAACACAATCACTGGGTATTATTGATGATTTTAATCTAAACAGTCAAAACTACTAGCCGCATATTTAATTCTGTTATGATTTAAATCCAATTGGAGGAAAGTATGTTATTAAATGAATTTAATTAATGTGAAATATTTTCAATAAATATACTGTATATCGAATGATACCTGGTTTAAGTTGTAAGCCTTAAGAAATGTTTCAAGAGAAAGACATTACTCATTGAAAGAATGAAATACTGCTCTATTCATTTTAAGTGATGCTCTTTATCTTGTCTCTATAGAGAATACAGCTAGTTAATGACAGGAAATTAATTTGAGGAATCACAGAGAAGATTGTTATTCTCTCAAGAATTTCTATAAACAGAATTGTTTCTTATAACTCATCCCTTAATGGAATTAAACGGATACAAATTTTCTTGCATTGACGCTAACCGAAAGAATGGCAAATTAATCCTTGTACATGATTAAAAATGATTGCTGTTAAGAAAATATTTGAAAAAAATAAAACTTTTCAATTTTTATATTGTTATCAATATTTTTTGTAGAGAAAAATCTATTTCTGCAGCATCCTCATCCTGCAGATTATTATCTATACATTCATAACGTTCATGCAGCATCCTCGTCCTTTAGAGTATTACTTATACATTCATATTCAAGTTACCTAAGAATATTTGCTTTCTAAATTTATACAAACAATATCGCAATATAAGAAATTGGATTTCTATTTTATACGTGTAGTGATTTATATTTATCCGTTTCGTAGTTCTACGTTCGAGATTATCAATTCATTTCTTCAAATCTTTCTCGCAATGATGCTTCTTATATATAATTAATGAAAAGGAATTTATTTTATTTAGTGGTAATTTTAACTTTTATTGAATTTTTAGGAAAGGCGTTTATTTATTTTACAACAACATTTATTATTAAATTATGCAAAATATTTCTAATTAAAATTAGAAAATTTCCGAAATGTACATTAACTAATGTATGTTATTGGCAGACAGTTGAAAGATAAACATATATCTACGATTATCTTATTACTAAGGCTAGGAAGTCTAGTTACTATATAAAAATCATATAAATAATTATGTTAATCATATAATTTTATAACTGTTTATAATGTTTTTAGTGCTTAGTTATCCTAGCCTTAGTTTTTAAATATGCACAATGTACAATAATTAATCAAAATATTATCCAAGTTTTTCTATTCGGGCCGATCAATATGTATTTTTAGATTATAACTTAAATATACAATAAATTTTACATTTAAATCTAAATTTAAATCGGTGTAAGTGTATATGTAAGTCCATTGTTACGTATATACAGATATACACAAAAATATATATTTTATATATATAATAAGACAATTATATATATATTTGTCTTTTATTTTTCTGTCTATCGTACTACATTGTTCAAGTATTCACTAAAAGAGCTTATGCTTTTATTTGAAGACTATCTCAGATAATACAAATCCTCACTTCAAAATTATATAAGTTTTTATGGAATTGCAACGAAATTTGCCTATGAAGTAATTTAAAATTTATTGTGATGATTTAAAACAATAATAAACATAAGAATAGATTGTATTTTATACAAAATCTAAGAATTTTAACACGAATGAGCACGATTCATATTACACTTTTTATTGAGAAATATTATTTTAGAAATTGAAAATGGAAGAATGACAACAATTTAATTTTATTAATACTAGTATTTATTATTAATAATATTGTCAACACTCTTAGACGAGTATCATTAAAAATTAAATGGAAAACATTTAATCGTATCGCATTTTGTATGTTATAATTAATTATTCATCAAATATACCGTAGTAAAAATAACGAAGAAAGTGATTTAACTAATAAGAACGAGTATAAAAATCAATAAATTTCTTATTATTTTTATATAAATTGTATAAATATGTTTACGTTGATGATAATCAAGGGAATAACAAATTAATTCACATAAATGAAACAAAATGATTACAGTTAAGAAAATATTTAAATAACTTATATCGATATCTATACTGTATTTTCTTGTACAAAAAAATATATATATTTTTAATTTTTCCTGTTATACGTGATTATTTCTATGTTTATAATATATAACAATATTTTAAAATTCATGCAAGCAATAATGTAACATAAGAAATGAATTATGAATTGTTCCGTGTCATTGATTTTGGATTTTATATATCTAAATATAACTGAAAAACAATATAAAAAGCAATTTATTTCGCTTCACTTTGAATCTAAAATCTTTTATTTTATAACTTTTATTTTAAATAATAACATTTTTAAAAATAAAATTTAAATTGGAAAGTTTATTGAGCGAATTTATATAAAAATTAAGAAATATTTTCTTTTATAATTAGAATTATACCTTGTTAAAAATATTCTATGATTATCCTTAATATTGTTGTGAAAAAATTATAAAATAATCTAAATTAATATATAAATTCCATTATAAATGCATTAAAAAACAGGAAAATAGTTTAATGTTATCAGCTTTGAATTAGCAAATGGTCACTACGAAGGGTCTAAATCTCGCATAGTTTACCTCGATCGTAGGGGTCGAAATATCTTATCTCTCATTCATGCTGGTGGATCCATTGAGAGTTAATCTCACCGCAATGAGCATAATTGAGTGGTTGAAAACCAGAGTGATTCATGCCGCAACATGAAATATTGTATGAAAGCTTGCTGTTATGCATGATTAGAGCATATATAATCCAATGCCATAGTAATTCAGCTCTTAAATTACTGTGGCATTGGATGATATATGCTCTAATCATGCATAATAGCAAGCTTTCATATAATATTTCATATTGCGACATGAACCATTCCGGTTCTCAACCACTCAATTGTAATCAATTATATAGGTTAGAATACGCTGGTGGGTCGCATAATTAAGCAATCAGTTAATTACCAAAAAGTTGAATAATTATTGAAGATAAATTTTTGTTTTTTGATGCCCGGGACATAATAGAAATATTTTCATTGAAGCAAAACAACATCCTATACTAAAACAATGGGAAGACATCAGCAATACATTAAAATTTTATATTAAATTTAATTACTTTAAACTATTTAAGAACAATAATTTTTCTTAAGAATCATTCTACGTTTTTTACTAATTTCCTATCTTTTCACTTTCAAATCGATCATTTATTAAATCAGACTACAAAATGTGATTGCGGCAATCATTTGTATACGCTTTTATATAAAATAGACTTTTAATTTTAAGAAGTAAATTATTTATTTATGAATTCATTTATCCAAATTACTTAAGATAGACGTAAACTATAATCAAGACGAAATCATTTATTTAAGAAAATGCTCTATCGTTTATTTTTAGTGAACTAAACAACGAAAAGTGATTTTCATTTATATAATTTTCTGATTTCTACTAAAGCAGATCTGAAAAAATAACGAAATCCTTGTAAAATTTAAAACGATTTGTTTAATATTTGTAGCACAAATATATATATATATTTTAAAAATATATTTATCTTATTTTTATTTTCTTTATTTTATAATAGAATTTCTGAATGATAAAGGTTGTCTGTTTTTGACAGGATAATCACAACTTGAAATTTCTTGGAAAAAATGAGGTAATCTCTTTCTATTTTGCTCGCTAAACTGGTTATTTACTTGTCTACCTGAACAATTTCTGGTGACAGCTGACTTACTGCGGATTTTCCTATTTTGATAAGTGTTAAGTCGATCTTGATTGGAGGATAAATAGCGCAAGCGCAGCCAATTCTATATCTAATCCAATGGAACTTCTTCACTTTTGAATTAGGAAAAAATTTATAAGATGGATATTCTTTGTATTGTATATAGTCCGTACGGGTTATCTCGATTCCCTTAATCGGCCATGTCTTAAGCTAACTAATTGAATTTTCCAAACTTTCGATTTTTAAAAGGTGATGTCTTCTTTACATAAGGCGAATGTACACGATTTTAATCTCAAGTAAAAACAAAGATAGTCACCCATATTGAGTACCGGCGAGAATATCATAGCCTCTGAGTTGTTCTGCATACTTTATAGATTAGAAGGATTAAGGTTTCTAGTAGCAGACATACAAACAAGCTAGATGGCTGCAATGTTTGCCAAACTGGCCGTAATCTGCTTACCTAGTCGTGCTGCCTATTGACACGGTGTGACTTCGATGAAGTTGACGAGTTAGATGAAAGAATGAACCAAAAGAGGATTAGATTGTAGCGAAGTAACACAGATAAGACTAATTTCTTCTCGAAATTATTTTTTTTCTCTGTCTTTCTCTTCGTTCTTCAGTGTCTTGTTTTTTGACCCAAAACTTTTCTATTTTCTTCTTTAGTTTCGCCGATATCTTTTCTTTCTCTTACTATTTTGATGAAGTAGATTAAATTACATGCCATCTGCAGATTTTTTTTTTCGGAAAACTGTTACTTTGCTAATTAGTTTTTATGGGTCAAATTTAATTTTTATCAACTTTAACGAAATTACTTGTTAAACGTTACTGTAATTAAATCGTTCTTCCTCATCCTTCTCAAATTTCCATTTTTTAAAAACTCTCTCTACCNAGATTTTTTTTTTCGGAAAACTGTTACTTTGCTAATTAGTTTTTATGGGTCAAATTTAATTTTTATCAACTTTAACGAAATTACTTGTTAAACGTTACTGTAATTAAATCGTTCTTCTTCATCCTTCTCAAATATCCATTTTTTAAAAATTTTCTCTTCCCGCATCAAAAACCATCGATTGGATTAAATTGTACGTATATTAGTTATAATTATAAAAATTTCATAATTATTTTATTTAAAATTTTATTATTTTGAAAGGATTCTTTTATATTTCTATTTTATTATTATTATTTTTTTCAAATACGATGAGCACGCATTGAATGTCCATTTGTCGAGTGCACGCGTAGTTTTTAATAAATTATTAAATTAGAAAAGCCATTTTTATTTAATTATTTAAAATATAAGCAAAAAATTGAAATATATTCTATAATATACATTTATTTATTGTGTTGTTTTCATTTTTAAGTTATAATTGCAAAAATAAACTAAAAACAAAAGAAAACTTTATTGATTTCTCTAATTATCATCACACATTTTTTATTTAAATTATGATTATATCGTGTATCTTAATGTAACACATTTTTTATGTATGAAACTTTTCTACATGAGCATCATAATATAATTCATAAATGTACTGTACAATCATCAAAATGTAAATTATATTCTTATCATCTTTCAAATTACACTAATTCAAGTAATAAAGCGCATTTCTTTGATATGAATTCATAATTGAAATCAAAATTTCTTATCTTTCTTTTATTCCTTTTCATTTGATATAAGTTGACAGGAATATATTCCAAAATATCTTAAGATTTCACTTTAAATTAATATTTCAAACGACTTTCTTATGAAAAAAAAAACATAAATAATAATTATAAGTGAAAGATACCGAGATTAATTTAAGGCTATAATTCCTTATTCAAGAGAAATGCATTCATGGGAATCGACTAGGCTCTTATTAACACTTGAATGTTTTCTTATTAACGTAATGGAAGTGAAAGTGATTTCATGTTGAAACCATAACGTCGTGCAAATGATCGAGTTAATAAAACGTAAAGAAAATCACGAAATATCGACCAGGTATGGTTTAATGAATACAGATTAATTAAAATTAATAATTTAATTTTAATTTTCGTTTTCGGAATGTTTTACTTTTTGAGTGAAAATTAATTTTCCGTTCGTTATAAGTAATTCGAAATTAAATTTTATCTGTAAATTTACAGATGTTTTATTAAATCTTTTATTTTTTAATATTTGGTAATACTTTTTTGATGAGCATTCGTTATTATTATAAACATGACAAAACATGCACATTTTTGTATGCTTTATTATGCAAATGTTTACTTTCTTCGCTTTTATAGATAACAGAGGAAAAGTATGGCGATCGGTCAAAAATGACTCTCCTCAAGATTTTTACATTTTTGGACTCAGGACACCTTGAAACGTCGAGAAATGCAAAGAAAAGTAATTTATATATGTATATATTTTAGTGTTTGTGTATATATGTATATATGTTGGGGGCAGAATTTTGTTCACCCTCTTTGGAGCTTAATAACTCCTGTACTTTTTGTCCAAAATTTCTGAAATTTTGCAGGGAGGTTTGATGCTATTAAATTTTGGGGATTAAAGGTCGAGGGATGGGGAGATAATAAGGGTTGTGTATATCTCCAGTAAGGTCAGAAGTAATGACGATTTTACTCGTTATTATCATTTATAATTTTTTGTAAAATTCGTCCTTACCCTGAAAATTAAGCTGTTTGCCATTTTATAATAATTAAAAGTATGAAAAGATTTTAATAATAAATATCATAGCAGATGATGCCATCAAAGTTTGCCAGGAACTCGTTGCTAGATTTCTTTATATTGAATAGTATTATAAAGTATACTGTACTGTACATTGTGCAGAGCTCTTTCAACATTTCAAAATTATTTCAAGACTTTTATAAAATAAAAACTCTTGAAATAATTAAAACATATACATATAATAGTTATATCTATATTTTCTGCTGCTTTTTGGTATTGTCATAAAACGTGTATACATACGCTGTCATATATAAGTTCCAATTTCTAATAATTTTTAAAATAATATCAGTTATGTTGATTAAATCAAAATAAATATTTTTAAAATCTAATAAAGAATAATTAATGGTAAAGCAAAATGAAGATTCTGTTATTTAAATCAATTGGCAAACAGACATGTAAGTTTCTAAAACGTCGATAAGTTTCAGAACGTCACATGAACTTTGACCTCTAAAAATTTTGATATTTCGTGCAATTCTGATAATATACTAGATGTCATTTTTCGAATGCATTATTTAATTTTCTGTAATAAGTCTGCTTCTATTCAAACATTTCATGTCAGTCAGTGTAGCTTTATTATACCATCAAACTTCTTAACAATGGCCATTTGACGGCCATTGTTAAGAGATGGTCGTTATTGAAAGGTGTTCGTTATTAAAGGTTCAACTGTACATTTTAATAAATCATAAAATATTTAAATATAAATGTGTTGAGTTTAACTATAATATGCAAAGAAATTCCAATGAATGGTTTAGTGGTGTTATGAGTTCAAAAAGAAATCACTGTTTGAGTGTGTCGTTATTTCGAGATTTACAAAATGTTGAGAGATATTAAGCGTTATTTCCGGAATTATACTACATTCTATCTCTATAAATTTTAATATTTAAAATGCTTAATATTAAAGAAAAACTTTACATTAATATATTAAAATACAGATATGTTAACTGAATAAAGCATTTTGCGTCGAACCTAACTACTGATTTAGGTCTGTATGAGATTAACTTAAATATTATGTATTATTTTCAGTTAGAAATAGTAATTTTGAATGACAACATATGATTTTTTATACTACAGTATATTAATATTTTAAAAAATTACTTTTTTTTACAATAGAATCTGATATTTTTCTATTAAAAGAAAGCAAAATCTAATAATTAAAAATAAAATTTTAATTAATAACTTGATATCGAAGCATCCATTGACGAAGTATTATTACTTTCGGTTGACTTTCAGGAGCAGTGCTCGTATCTTTATAGATGGAAATCAAATAGTTTGTTATGCAAAATTCTCTTCACCTAGTCTTGTTGGGTATGAATACAGTACGACAGAGTCTGAGTACTGATGTGAAGTTCGCCAATTACCAGATTCGTGATATTTTTCTCGAGTTGACGTACCTTTCTTACGCATGGACGACCCTTGACAACGTCTTGTAAAGTAGCACTTTTAAAGGTTTTTTTCCTGCAAAAAAATTTTTATATCTTTTAATCAATGTTTAATATTGAAAAGTTAATAAAAATATTAATTCTACTATTAAATTATAATTATAATAAATGTTATAAAATATTTACTGTTTTTTCTAAGTATTATCTTATTTTTACTTAATTAAAATCAGTTTTCAGATAAGATTTTTTGACTTTTGTTATTATCCTTTTGTTCTGATTTGATTTTTTTCTAAGATAAAGTATATAAAAACTAAATCCTCCTTTAATTAACAAAATATATTTTCCGTAAAAGATGTTTAACAAAAAAAATCTTTATCTGTAACAATTAGAAAGGAAAAAATCTCTCTGAAAATATCTCACAAAATTAAAAAAAGAAAAAAATGTTTAACTGGAATGAAACATAATTTAATGCAAAAATCGTGTATCTTTCTAACAAAAAATAGTACTTTACAAAACATACTTTCCTAATTATAAGTTTTATATTATAGTTTTTAAATTTATATATTATTAAAATTTACATATTTTTACTTTAGAAATTTTAATGAAAACGAACTAATTAAATTATTTACTCGAAAAATAGCAAAGAGAGATTTGATCCAATTTTTGTCGAATAACTGAAATATTGATATTTAACGAATTTATTTAAGTTTTTCTATGGTTTCTCTGAAGTTTCGGGTTTCATCTGAGTTGTGGGTGTTCTTTTAATAGGAAGGTGGAGGAACCAGAAAGAATCCTGAAATTCCCAACATCGATCCTCTCTGGTATGAATGCCGCTGGGGTCGAAAGAAATAGGCTAATCGAAATTTCAGTTTCGACTTATTCGACAGAATGTCAAATTTATTCGGTTGAAGAAAACTTTCAATTCCTTTCAAATGATATAACTTTCGATCTTATTACGTTTAAAATATTTAAACTGTGAATATTCTATTTCCAATCCATCCGAGTTCAATAGCGACTCGGAAGTAAGAATTGAATTTAAGATTAAAAATAAATAAATTCAATTTTACTTTTCATTACATAAAGATCATAAAGTTAAATTCGGCAGCATTTAAATTTTAAAATTGCTATTTAACAATAAAATTTAGCGAGTTTTAACGTTCGAATTTACATATTTAAAATATATATTCATATATATATATATATATATTAAAATTTACACTAAACGAATTAATATTTAAATAAAAACGGGTATTAAAAATTTATTTTTATGTAGTTATAGTAAGAAAATTTCGACTGAATCTAGCGAAAAATTAATATTGTGAATAAATTTCTGTGGTGTGATAAAAGATGAAAGACATTGTGAGGCGGTTAAATATCGAGAAAGGAATGGTTTCTGTAAATATCTGTATATCTGACGTGACTTGAAGGCATGCCAACCAGCCGCTTGAATTGGTCATTGAGCTCTACTGGCAACTGACAGCTTTCTGATGGGTTATGAAGGAATTTCACCGATCCAGAACCTCTCGATTGCTTAAGCAAACAATTCTAAGAACGTCACACACAAAATGAATTTAATCTCCATATTTTCTCCTAGAAGAGACCGAAATTTAATATTTTACATTATCTGCATTTCTTTAGATGTTCTTCGAGAATAAGAAGAGACGTTTAGTAGATGTTTNCGTTTTTATAATTTTATTGTATGGAAGAACCGAATAAATCGATGGCAAGAATAAAATATATTAAATTAAAAAAAAACATCTTGTTATAAGTCACCGTATATATTATAATAAATGCTTTCAATTTTTAACAAGCGTATTTTAATAGAGTTAAAGCCGAGCGAATGTGGATCAATAGAACTGTTAGGACAAACGAGAAGTTTGGCAAAAACAAGATCGTTGGACCAATATTCTAGAAAGTAATTTTAAAAATTTTCTTGCCACTCATGAGTGAAGTGTTTGTTAGAAAGATAGCAAAGTGCTTTTGTAGTGGAAAGCCATTTATTTTTAGGAGGCAGTCACAAATCATACATGTTTCGATTATTTGAATAAATTGTATCGGTTGTGGCATGTTTGTTTAAAATCGATTGAATACCGCAAGAGCAACTGTGCTATTCGAAACTAAATATAAGATTGAATAGAAACTTTGAGTGCAGTTGTACGGTAATATAACATTAGTTAAATGTTGGAACGCATCCTCTAAGGACCCATCTACTCTCTACGTAATAAACATTAATTCTTCCTCGATGATTCTACGAGGAAACTTGATAAATACTATTAATACTTTTGCTAAAATTTCAAATAAATCAAACGGTTTCCTAGTTTCGTTTTTGCGGCGACAAAAATTAATAACGTAAATATTCTCGAAAGTTAAGCTGCAATATTAATAAATAAGAAAATTAACAGCTGAAAGCAAATCTTTATTACTTATTAAAAGGGTGTTAGAGGAGTTGGGAAAGTTGTACACAATACAACAAATAACTTTTTCTACTTTTGTCGTAATTACAACCTGTGATTATTGTAGCATGTAGTCTGCAATACAAGTGAAGGCTCGCCAAAAGTATTGTCTGACAAGAAGCTATTGCAAGAAAGAAAGTATAAGAATCTTCTACACGATGGTATCTTGTCTCTTTGCACCATCCACTTTGATTAAGACGTCTACAGTAATCAATTTACAATATATTTCCAAGAAGAATTTCTGTTTCGGCAATTTTATTTAAACAATAAACGTGGCAAAAGAAAACTCTATTATTTGTTTTGCTCTTTGCAAACAGTAAGTATACATTCTTTTAATGATAACTTACATTTACTTTTATTGGAGTAAAGAATGAATTAATATCGAACAATCGTGATAAATGAAGATAAAAGGGCGTAGTTTTGTAGTTTATTCACCTCTTTATTATAAGACAAGTAACGTGTTTGTCATGCAAATGTTTAACAACTTGAAAATTGTCATTCTTGTCTTTTGATGTTTGCAAATCACTTACACAAATTTTAATTCGCAATCGTCTCTATCGCACAGAATTATAATTAGTTAAATGTGATTATATATACAGTAAGTAAAATTAATCATTGATTTATTTTGTATTCGTTTTATCATATTTATTATCATATATAAGAAATAAGAAGGCGAAGTAATTTTTACGACTGGAATATAACTCTATTCTTTTGGTAATAGGATGGCAAAGCATTAGCTGTACCAATTGTTGAGAGTCGTTGGCATTTAACTCCAATCTAGTTTCTTTCGGCTCATAACATTAACCGTTCAATCTTTGATCGTAAATAGTGTCTTCATCACACGAGTTTCATAGTCCCGCGAGAAATAGAAGTAAAAGACTTTGCCAAAGTTTCGACAAGGGGATACGTCATTGTCATGAATCCTATCTGTAAGTTATGGTATCGTTCACCTGAATTATCGCCAACCTACATCTTTATTGCACATAAACTCAAAGTAGTTGCTTCTAATGACGTCATACTATCGATGTCTTTAGTCTCGTAAACCAATGGTTGAATTCAACTCATCGAGCTTTTCCTAAGGATAAAAAGCACCTTTCAACCGATTTCTCAACAAGTAATGTTTACTTTTAAAACATCGAGTCCCAACAGATTTCGAATGACTCGATAGACGATACCTCCACGGCTGAACTTCTATCAAAAACACTTAGATAAGAAAGAGGGATTTACTTAAGTTGATCCAAGCGATTTCAACTTGTAGAAGTCTTCTCCTAGATAACCGAACCGTTTCTTAGATATAGAGATTGTTCACCTTTCATGATGTAGAAAATCTATATCGAACTTCTCGTGTTTGCGTACCTATTCGAGTTGACTATGTTTTACCGTTAAAAATGCACTTTTACTAAATAATTCGTAAATAAATTTATATTTATACTTATGATACAGTGTTGTTATTAAGGCTAAACAATATTTACACCCATGCATATTATTAAAATGTCTTGTTTTGCACGCTACATCTTTTTTATTGATGTCACAACTGTATTTTAAAGATAGTCCGTGTTGCTTAGTAATTTCTAATAAACTTTTCAACAAAGAAATTTACAGCTTGTACAAATTTAAACTTTATAGCATCATATTTTATTACTTTATTTCTCCAATATTTGTGAATAATTAAATATGTGATGATAAAATAACAGAAAGCAATTTATGAGCATATTTTACAGGCTTATATAATTTTCTTATTTTAAGTCTCAATATTGTTTAAATAATATCCTGATAAGTATGAAATTAATACTTAGTTCTTCTCGAGTTTAGAAAGTTTAGAAAGATATAAATCACTTTTACTTTCTGAAAATATTAAATTTTAATTTAATGTAACAAATCGATCGAGTTAGAAGATTAATCTTAAATATATACGACTGCATAACATTTTTAATCTCAATAATTTGTTTTCATAATTTTTAATTTAAAAAAAGTCGAATTGATATCGTTGAAACGTCAAAAAATTTGTTTTTTTTAAAGTAAAAATTTTTCTAAAGTTTACAAATTGAAATTAATTATATAACATTTCATGGGTAATCATTCAATTTATTTTATCTCGAGTAAGAAAACTGTTTATCAATTCTGTTAACGTTAATAATATTATTAAAATAAAAGAATTTTTACATTATTTATCTGTAACTGATATCAATTTTAAAGAATTCTAAATTAAATTATTAATTAACTATTAGTCAATATAGATTGAAGTTGGAAGAATGGACGATTGATTGCAACTGTAAGAAACAAAAATTAGTTTCGAAAAAAAAATATATTATTGATATTTCGAATTACTGTTCAGTTATACAAAAATAAATCTTTCATACGAAACCTTATAATAAATTCTCATCTGCAATGAGGCGTGAAAGCTTAAAGGGAATAAAACTGTGAATATGCATTGTTATCTACAGATCGAAGAGAAGACGTATCTATATAATAATTTTTCTTGGTAATGGCGAAAGATTTGTATATTAATTTTGAATTATTCAGCTATTTATAATTAAGTTCTGCATATAACTAATGTTGATGATGAGTATATAATATGAGAAAGAGAAGGGGGCTATTAAAATTTTATTAAAAATGATACACTTTAAAAATCACTAAATAATTGTTAAAGTTGTATTTTGATTATTCTGTTTATAACAGTGTATTATGGAAAATTTTCATGGTATACTTTATGGTATAGCATTATCGATTTATATACCAAGAACTTATTTGTTTCGGTAGTCTCCTGTGAAAATCTGAAAAAGTCTTCCCTCGAGGGAGCATGCTACTCTACCTAATACAACTCACAGAAATCTTGGATGCGAGATTGCCTAAGGATATAAATCGTTACTTCAAATAATCTTACCATTAATATTAACATAACTTTGAGTCGTAAAGTGTAGTTTCCCAAAATACATAATTAGAAATAGATAATGTTTAAACGAATTCGTTACCGTGAAATCACCGAGAATATATTAAAAAAAAAACTAACAATACAGTAATATAATAACGGAGAATCATTTAATAGTCATTATATTATTATTCTAATTTTGAATTATAACGTAGAAAGATCATTTATCACTATTCTAATGGATAATGATCATTGCTACGTCACTATTATAATTATAGCAACATTTGTATCGAAGTTATAATATTCGGTATCTGTTGGATATTCGAGCGTATCTTTTTCTTGAAAGCTGTATCCTTGAGAGTGTAAATGCAGATAGTGATGTAATTTCCGGAAGATTAAACATATGGCATCTTTCGCTAGATCTTTGTGCGTAGTTTCGGAACTGTCTCCACTTCCCGGAAATGAGCCTATGGTTAACACGAAAGAATTTTGTTATCTTCACCATAGATTGATTTGCCGCCGTTATTCTACACCAATCCATCGTCTGTCAAGAGAATAATTTCTAAAGATAAGCTTAATTGTCTTTATTCTTCAATGAATTCATAATTTTTCTCGCATATATTAATCAAAGTTATATTGCTTTATTAATTTTCTATGAAAATNGGGGTGGCTAAAGAAATTTTTAATAAATTATTTATTGAAAAACTAAAAATATTTGAAAAATTATACCTACTCAATAACTACAAAGCAGACAAATCTCTATATTGATGTTTATTAGTCACTTAGATCATAAATGATGTTATAAATGCAAGAATATCAAATATATTTCTTACCCCTTGAAGTGACTAGCAAATTGCCTTCAAAACAACATTTGAACTCTCATCACCTAAATTGACCTTTGTCCATCCTTCTGTTCATACAGTTTCATTTTTCTTTATCATTACTTCCACTCAGATTGTTTTTGATGAATTAATAATTAATAAAAATTTAATTGAACAGTTGTAATTAATGTAAATACGATTAACATTAAGTAATATTAATCGCTTATAAGTTGAACCTGTCGTGAATATCATTAATGTTACACAATCATGAATTTATAAAATGTATCACCGGATAGAATAATTTAAAGAGAGTAAAACTTTTGAAAATTAATTAAAATTTAATCGAAATGTCTAGAAAATTTAGAAAGCACAAAGAAAAATTCGAATAAAAATTCGAATAAAAATATATTTTCCTTATGAAAACAAATTATTTGAGGCTTAGGTGCACTTGTCAAGAAATTGTGGCTGATACTTTTCAGA